ACGAGCAATTCACAGGAGCTCCAGTTTCTCCACATCCTCTTTGATATGGATTGGCTCTGTGTCCCGACCCAAATCTCATCTCTTAATTGTAATCCCAATGTGTTGGGGAAGGGGCCTGGTAGGAGGCGATTGAATTGTGGGGGCAGATTTTCCCATTGCTGTTCTCATAATAGTGAGTTCTCATAATAATAGTGTTCTCATAATAATGAGATCTGGTTGTTTGAAAGTATGTGGTACTTCCCCCTTCACATGCTCTCTCTCTCCTGCTCCACTACAGTAAGATATACTTGCTTCCCCTTTGCCTTTTGCCGTGATTGTAAGTTTCCTGAGGTCTTCCAGTCATGCTCCCTGTTAAATCTGTGGGACTGTGAATCAGTGAAATCCCTTTTCTTCGTAAATTACCCAGTCTCCAGTAGTTCTTTATAATAGTGTGAAAACGGATAAATACACTTGTCAACACTTGTTTTCTATTGTTTTGATAATAGCCATATTAATGGGTATGAAGTGGTATCTCATTGTGTTTTTGTTTTGTATTTCTGTAATGATTAGTGATGTTGAGCATGTTTTCATTTGCTTACTGGTCATCTATATATCTTTTAAGAAATATCTATTCAAGTCCTTTGCCCATTTTTAAATTGGGTTGTCTTTTCTGTTGTTGAGTTGTAGAAATCTTTATATATAAATCTGGCTATCAGTCTCCTATCACATACATTATTTGTAGATATTTTCTCTCATTCTTGGGTTTTTCACTATGTTGTCTTTTTGTCCTTTGATGCACCAAAGTTTTTAATTTTAATGAAGTCCAACTTACATTTTCTTTTGTTGCTTGTGCTTTTGGTGTCATATCAAATAAATCATCTTCAAATTTTATGTCTTTTTCTTATGTTTTCTTCTAAGTGTTTTGCAGTTTTAGTGGTTGCATTTAGGTCTTTGACCCATTTGGAGTTAATTTTTGTGAATAGTATTAGTTTAGTTTCTTTTTTCTTTTTTTTTTTAAACCAGAGTTTAGTTTCATTCTTTTGAATGTGAATATCTGGTTTTCCTAGTACCATTTGTTGGAAAGACTGTTCTGTTTCTATGGAATGGTTTTGGCACTCTTGTCAAAAATTATTGGACCATATATGTGAGAGTTTACTTCTGGGCTCTTTTGTATTCCATTGGTCTTTATGTCTGTCTTTAATGTCAATACCACAGTGTTTTGATTACCATAGCTTTGTAGTAAGTTTTGAAACCACAGAGTGTGAGTCCCTTGTGGTTGTTGTTTGTCAAGATTATTTTGGTTATTAAGGATCCCTTGAGATTCAATTTGAATTTAAGAATGGGCTTTTCTATTTCTACAGAAAATATGGTTGGGGTTTTGTTAGAGATTGCATTGAATCTGTGTATCACTTTGGACGTCATTGACATCTTTATAAATTTTCTAGTCTGTGAACATGGGATGTTTTTCTATTTATTTATATGTTCTTTGATTTCTTTTAGCAATCTTTTGTCTTTTGTAGTTTTCACTGTGCAAGTATTTTACCTCCTTGGTTAAGTTAATTTCTAGGTATTTTATTCTTTTTAATGCTATTGTAAATGGGACTATTGCCTTGATTTTGTTTCTGGATAATTCATTATTAGTATGTAGAAATGCAACGGGTTTTTTTTTATTTTGTATCCTGAAACTTTGCTGAATTTATTAATTCTAACACTTTTTGTGTGTTAGTTTGTAGGGAATCTTTAAGGTTTTCTAAATGTAGTGTATGTTGCTGGTGTACAGAGATAATTTTACCTTTTCCTTTCCAGTTTGGATGCCTTTTATTTATTTTTAATTACTCTGGCTAAATTTCCAATACTATGTTGAATAGACATGGCAAAAGTACATATCTTTGTCTTGTTTCCATTTTAAAGCAAAAGTTCTTTCAGTCTTTGTTTTTTTTCCTCTCTCTTTTTTGAGACAGAGTCTCACTCTGTCACCCAGGCTTAGTGCACTGCCACAATCTCAGCTCACCAAATTCTCAACCTCCTGGTCTCAACGTATCCTCCCACCTCAGCCTCCCAAGTAGCTAGGAATACAGGCGTGCACCACGACACCTGGCTAATTTTTTTTTTTTTTTTTTAGTAGAGATGAGATCTAACTGTGTTGCCCAGGTTGGTCCTGAACTCCTAGGCTCAAGTGATTTGCCTGTCTTAGCCTCCCAAAGTGCTAGGATTACAGGTCTGATCACCATGCTTGGCCAGCTTTCAGTCTTTTTTCTTTTTTTTTCTTTGAGACAGTCTTACTCTGTCTCCCAGGCTGAAGCACAGTGGCCCCATCTTGGCTCACTGCAACCTCTGCCTCCCAAGTATAAGCAATTCTCCTGCATCAGCCTCCCGAGTAGCTGGGATGACAGGCACATACCACCATGCTTGGATAATTTTTGTATTTCTGGTAGAAATGGGTTTTCACCATGTTGGCCAGGCTAGCTTTCAGTCTTTTACCAGTGCATATGATGTTGACTCTGCATTTTTAATATATGGCCTTTATTATGCTGAGATAATTTATGTGTTACTAGTTTTTTTAAAGACTGGGTTTCACCATGTTGGTCAGGCTGGTCTTGAACTCCCAACCTCAGGTGATCCGCCCGCCTTGGCCTCCAAAGTGCTTGGATTACAGGCGGGAGCCACTATGCCCAGCCCAGGTTTTTTTTTTGTTTTTTTTTTTTAGGTTTTTTTTTTTGTTTGTTTGTTTAAGACAAAGTCCTGCTGTGTTGCCCAGGTTAGAGTGTGGTGGCACAATCTTGGCTCACTGCAACCTCCACCTCCCGGTTTCAAGCGATTTTCCTGCCTCAGCCTCCCAAGTAGCTGGGATTACAGGCACACGCCACCACACCTGGCTAATTTTTTTTTTTTTTGTATTTTTAGTGGAGATGGGGTTTCACCATCTTGACTAGGTTAATCTAGAACTCCTGACCTTGTGATCTACCTGCCTCAGCCTCCCAAAGTGCTGGGATTACAGGCTTGAGCCATTGCACCCACCTTTTTTTCGTTTTTTTTTAAATCATGAAAGAGTGTTGAATTTTGTTAAATGCGTTTTCTGTATGAATTGAGATGATCATCTGGGTTTTTTGCTTCATTTTGTTCAGGTAATGTATTACATTAATAGATTTTCATATGTTGAATTATCCTTATATTCCAGGAATAAATATCACTTGGTCATGGTGTATAATTCTGTTGATATATTGCTGAATTCAATTTGCTATTATTTTCTTGAGTATTTTTGTATCATATACATTTATATAGACTATTGGTTTGTAGTTTTCTTATGGTATATTTGCCTGGTTTTGGTATCAAGATAGTTCTGGCTTCATAGCATGAGTTAGGAAGTGTTTCCTCCTCTTCAATTTTTTCTTAATTTTAATTTTTTTTTGAGAGGAGTCTTGCTTTGTCGTTAGGCTGGAGTGCAGTGGTGTGATCTCGGCTCCCTGCATCTTCTGCCTCCTGGGTTCAAGCGATTCTTCTGCCACAGCTTCCCGTGTAGCTGGGATTACAGGCACTCGTCACCACGCATGGCTAGTTTGATATTTTAAGTAGAGATGGGGTTTCACCATGTTGGTCAGGCTGGTCTCAAACTCCTCACCTCAGGTAATCCGCCTACTTCAGCCTCCTGAAGTGTGGGATTACAGGCATGAGCCACTGTGGCCGGCCTCTTCCTCTTGAATTTTTTGGAAGAGTTTGAGAAGGATTGGTGTTTTTTAAATGTTTAGTAGAATTTCCCAGCAAAGTCATCTGATCTAGGGCTTTTCTTTGTGGAAGTTTTTGATTACTGATTCAATCTCCCTGCTAGTTATAGGTTTATTCAGATTTTCTGTTTATTCCTGATTCAGTGTTGGTAGATTTTTTGTTTCTAGAAATTAATCCGTTTAATCTAGGTAGCTCTGAGGTATTTTATTATGAAAAGTTGGTACTCAACAAAGTAATATGACCTTAAAATTCATACATTTACTTCATTTTTTGGCTTGACTTTCTAGTAAATCTTTTGCTTCACTGATTTTGGTTGTGATAGACGATCTATCTGAATGATTTAAGAGCATAATTGGTGAATAAACATCTCTTATTTTCTCTTTATTGGCAGTAGTGCTTACAGTACTATAAGTGCTGCTTTCCATTTTGTCATTTTGCATTCAAACCTACCTCTGTAGTAGCCACCACCAAAGGTAGATTTTGGTAGACTTTGAAAAATTTGTTTTACTTGAGGTTCCACATGCCTCATGGGTTGCAAATCCTGCAGCAGCAATGGTCACTCTGACTGCTATCACTGTATTGGCCATGGCTCAGCTCCCCTGCTGCACCAGGAGCATAGATCATCCCAGCCCAGAGGTTGCGGCCAACAATGACACATTTTTACTAGAGAGTGACACAGCCACTGATGGCAAGCACAAACCACCAGATTATAATTTTTTTAAACGAGAGAGAATTATTTGAAAAACAGTCTGGGTGCCTTGGCTCATGCCTGTGAGCCCAGTACTTTGGGAAGCCAAAGCAGGCAGATCACTTGAGCCTATGAATTCTAGACCAGTCGGGGCATGGTGGCATGCGCCTGTAGTCCCAGCTATTCAGGAGGATCACCTGAGCTCAGGGAGGTTGAGGCTGCAATGAGCCATGCTCACGCCACTGCACTACAGCCTGTGTGGCAGAGTGAGACCCTGTCTCAAAAAAAAAAAAAAAAAAAGAAAAACACAGTTTATGTTGTTGTTGTGTATTGAGTCTTCATAAATGCTTCATCTGGTGGAACAAATCAGCAGTTGGTTATAGAATGTCAACTGGCAAAATATCTATTATTTACAGCATCTACATGAGTTGTTAAAACCATCACATTTTCAATATATAAATGGGCAAAAAGATGTTTATGTGGGTTAGTAAACAATGGAGAAATATTTTATTAGATACTAAGAGGTAGAAATTAAAATTTTATGCCTACATAACAAAAAATAGAAAATATTGATATCATTCAGTGCTGGTGAAATTGACACTGGCATATTTATACATTTAAAAAGCCATGTGTGGGTAGCTGGAGAAGCCAGGCAGTCCTAGGAAGCCGAATGGGAGTGGCACAGAGCTGCTGGAGATCCTGAGAACCTGAGATTCAGCAAGCAGCCAGAATATTAAAAAAAAATGACTACACCAAACAAGACATCTCCTGGTGCTTACCCTAAGCAGTTGGAAAGGACTGGAACAGTATGGGAAACTGGGTCACTAGCTGTTTGGTTCCTCTCATCTTGCAGACTAGGATTTATAGTGGATCAGTTACGAGTTGACAATCTAGAAACTTACTGGCAATCAGATGGCTCCCAGCCTCATTTAGTGAATGTCCAATTCAGAAGAAAAACAACAGTGAAGACATTATGTATTTATGCAAGCTACAAATCTGATGAAAGCTATACTCCAAGCAAGATCTCAGCCAGTGTAGGAAATAATTTTCACACCCTTCAAGAAATTCGGCCGGGCGCGGTGGCTCAAGCCTGTAATCCCAGCACTTTGGGAGGCCGAGACGGGTGGATCACGAGGTCAAGAGATCGAGACCATCCTGGTCAACATGGTGAAACCCCGTCTCTACTA